GCTAGACTCGGAGTCGGATTCAGACTTGGAAGCCTCTGCAGGCGTGGCCTTCTTCGTGGACTCCTGCCTCTCGACGTCGCTGTCGGCGATCTCCTCATCCTTGCTGCGACGCTTCGGCGCTGAAGCACCCGTCTTGTTCGCAGCACCTAGGTTGCGGAGGAAGTTGGAGCCGCCTTCCTCGTCGCTGCTGTCGCTCCCATCCTCGTTCGAGCTTGAATCGTCATCGTCGGAATTGTTGTTGAAGATAGCTCCGCTTGGGCCAGCAACTTTCTTTGCTGCTGCAGCTGCCCGTGCACGTTGGGGGGTGGTGCCGTTCTGGCTCTTTTGGCTGTCTGCAATGTGCTTCTTGAGAGAATGCACCTTGTAGGGCTCCCGTGGAGCCATGGCGGATTGACTTGGGGGGTTTGTGAGACGCGTGCAAAGAATTGGCAGAAAAGTTGGTCTCAAAAGCTCACGACGGTCTCATAGAGGAAGGAAATTTTGATGCTGGACGTGGGGAGGAAAAAAAAGGATCCACTGACGCGCTCGGCTGGGAGATGCGCACGGGCCCTCCTGCAGCGTGACGATAGTGCTAATTAACGGGCGCGACCTGCATTACGCTCCAAACCAGTTGACGCAACCATCCACTAAGTTAAAGTGCTATATACAACTTCAAATTATAGATACTTCAATAAAATCTGTTTATTTCTGTATATTTCTTCGAAGTCAAGACCTGGGTGAACCTTCTAGTATCAGATTTTAGGATTATCCTGGCTTATTTCACCTCTTCTCTTTTTCCTTCTTTTCTCTGGCGCAAACTGTTTCCTCAAACTGTTTGGTTTCAGCTGAACTTTTTTTTCTTTTTCTTCGCTCACCCTACATGGCTTCCAATTTAACTAGAATCCTTCCATTTGTTACGCGAGGTCTCGCCCTAGTGAGACCGGCAGCGTCATGAGATTGATGGAACTGGCTGATGAATTGGCGATCGCGATACCTGTACTGTGATGTCCGGTACTAAGTCTAATCTAAAGGACTCGATTCATCCATCTCGACTCGCTCTATTCGTCCTTTCTATGGGTGAATTAGGCCAAACCCTTTTCGGGACATGACACCCTACGTAGGTACTTTTGAATAGGTAGACTCTCTTTAAAGTTTAGTTTTCAATTGTTTCAGGCCGGGCTGCTTTTACGGAATAACGATCAAGGAGGTCTGGATAAGGGATTCTTAGCCGCCTCCTCTAATTACTAGATAGAAGCAGTAGTCTAAATAGGTATATCCCCTTATTTGTCTAGTACAAATCTATCGCCAGTCTCTAAACTCATCTTGTATATGTGATCACTGTAGTAATAGTAGTGAGATCACTTCGTCATAAGATAATAGTTGGCATAACGAAAAGATCCGGATATCCACCGGAAACATCTAAGAGGAGCCAAAAAAACCTCGGAAAGTGACAGGCTTAGGCCCTTGAGACGCTCTCGGTAGGGTTAACCTTCTCATCCGACCCATCGGGCTTCTCACTCGCCGGCTCAGAGGCACTGTCCCTATGGGGTCGCCTTTGACGCAACTCCCGACCAAGATCATCGTGGGTGGCATCCCAGTCGGCCACCTCAGCATTTGGCACGCGCAGGAGCCGGTGCGTATTGGCACCATTCTCATCAACATTGATCACCTGGGCCCGGATGGAATATTTACCCCAGCGGGGAAGGAGGTTCATCCAGAAGTAGTAGTAGACGTAGCAGATGACGATGATGCCAATCCCGACGATCATGTAAGTCGCGTAGAAGAAGCTCACAGTGCCGGCGTAGATGCCCTTCTCCGGAGGGATCCATGGCATGATGAGCAGGTAGACCTGGGCGAGCAGATACAGAATGACTACAGCCCACCAGGCCCGGAACTCGGACCGGGGGGTGCCGGAGACGTCGCGGCGGCGGCGGAGGATGAGGAGACCCACGCCCATGGCCACGTGGAAGATGGCATCCGGGTACGTCTTAAGGGAGACGACGAACTGGAATGCGTCGCCCGCCGGGGGAGCCACGATCATGAGGAAGGTGAAGGCCCATTTCAGAAGATAGGGGCCGATGGGCGTGCCGAAGGGTCGGGTCGACACCCAGAACTCCGTCCAGGGGAGCACGCCCTGACGGGCAATCTCACGGATCTGCCGCGACTGGCTGATGAGGACGGCCAGCAGGTTGCCAAAGGAGCTGAGGAGGACGCAGAAGTTGAGGGCCGACTCGGCAGTGGATCCAAAGGCGGTGCGGAAGAAGACGGCGGCGGCCAGCTCGCTCGACTTGATGAAGGTATCTTTGGGAACGGCAGCGAAGTACGCGATGTTGCAGAGAAAGTAGAGAGTGAAGACTATCAGCAGCGACGCAGTGGCGTTCTTCTTGAGAGTCGGAATGGGGTTCTTGATCTCGTTGACCATGCTGAAGGCGTTCTGCCACCCCGAAAATGCAAAGGTGATATTGACCATAGCCTGAGAGAGATTGTAGCCGCTCGAGGTGGTGCCTATGAAGCCCTTGCCATCGGCGAAATTGAGGCCCGGGTTCGGAATGCTGGGAACATGGCCTCCAAGGATAACCAGGCCCGAGATAGAGATGAAGACGAGCAGCAGGAGCTTTAGGGCGCCAATTCCGTTAATGGCCCAGTATGCGTACCTGTTATGGGCGGCAACGCAAATGACTGCCAATGTGTAGGCGGCAATGGCCACGCCCTTGAGCTCCCAGGGGCTGGGAGTACGTCCGACGATGCGCCACAAGTAGTTGGATAGCACAATAGCATTGCTACTGCTGAAAGACAGGAGAACCGTCTGAACAGCGTAGGTAACAGGGAAGAAGTGCTTGGGACGCGGGTAACTCTGCTCGAGCCAGACGACCTCGGAGCCGCTGCGGGTTGGGAAGTAGCTGGTAAACTCGAGATGGACACCAAGACCGGCAACGGCCAGCAGGAATCCAATGACCCAGTAAACTAGAGCCAGTCCCACGGAGCCAGTCAGGCGGAGAATGGTAGCTGGCGTGGAGAAGATACCGGTGCCCACCATATGATTGACGTTGAGGAAGATGATGGTGAGCCAGTTGACGTGGTAACCCAACGGTGAGCGGGATTCGACGGGTGCGCCGACAGCCTCCTGGTATCCCGAAGCACCATTGCCAGCCGCCTGGCGGACGTAGGCGAGATCTCCATCACGGATGACGGATGCCTCGCTGTCAGACTGGTTGTGGGAGTCGGGGGCGACTTGACCAGCCGTCTGCGGCTTGATTCTAGATAGGAACCCCATAGTATTTGCCTCTCACCTGGATGATGGACAATTCAGGCGGCTCGTGAAGTGCGAGGCTTCAACTGAAGCTCTCAAAAGCAGTTGTCTTCAGCCAGGGATAAAAAAGGTGAGACATGCCAGCCTTTTTATCACCAAGCCAGCTGGGTGGGCTTGGTGGCCTCACGATAGCTTCCAAGATATCGACCCCTGCCGACCAACTTAGCCACCAAGAGAATAGACAAGAAAACTTCAATCTTGGCCCCTATTGCTCTTCAAGCCACCAAACGTGACCGCTCTGAACGATGGCGCAATCATCTGTGGACTGACATTACCAGACCAACGGGCAGCGCAATCTAGACCATTGAGCCAAGCTCAAACGAATTCAACTTCTATTACGTTTCTGGTGCTTTTCGACGAGCCCATGATCCCCGCGGACTCCAGCCCTGTCGACGGTCGGGTAATTCCCGATACTATGTATGAAGCGCTTGCATCATCAAAGCCAAGATAAGCATCACCAGAGCTTCCAGCAGTTTAGCTTTAAGCTTACTGGGTAGGTCCTCGTAATCTCTGGCTCGGCGAGTCCTTGCTAAGACGCTCCGGCTCAAGGAGGCAGGCTAGCACATGCTACATCAGGGCAAGTTGAGAGGCTTTCGTGCTCGCACCCGGGAATCACGACATTTGGAATGTCACCCTGTGCCATATATGGACCGGAGTGAAGACGTAAGTCTTGACTAGGTTTCTTCTGATTGGCCAATTTAAGAGTTAGCAACCAATCTGTTATCATTATCCCTCATTCTGCGACCTTGGTATATCCATTACGTGGGTTTAACCGTTATTCTCTTGTTCTGAAGAGCGCTATTATATTGGCGTCAGGTTATAGTTTGGATCCCAGGGTCTAGCCAAGCGATCCTTGGCATTCTAATCAATCAATTACCAGACAATATCCACAAATATGGAAATAACTTACGAATCCTCAGGATGTGACTGGTTCTGGACCTTAATCGCCAACGCCTTCCTAAAATGACAATCGCATGTGAAGACAGATACTCAACCTACCTTGGATGAACCAAGGCGGAGGGAAAGCGACCTCTCGCCCCAATAGCTACAACACGCCTGAGTTGTTCCCAAATGGGGATGAGAGTGTAAAACACACCCAATGCCATAACAAGAGCAGAAGTAAGCTTCGGGGATTTCATGAGAGGCCGGTTCAACGAATCCTCTGGCTGGGCCCGACAGAGGCGTACTTCTGCCATCGCATGGGGCATCAAGTATGCTCGATATAACACTCGTCGATTTCGCTCGCCGCGGAAATATGATGCTGCGAGCACGGCTCCGGTCTCTCGCCGAGTTTCGACGTTGCTCCGTACCTTTACACACAAAATCGGCCCAACTCCCGGGAAAGCTCATCCCCGCAGCCCAATCCTGCGCTCAACACCGTGACCAGTCAGCCCAGGGCGGGATTAAGCATTGGATAGCTTCAGCAAGAGACCCCTCTTGCCCCAGAATCACGTCATCATCATGCTCGATGAGGTGCTAAGCCCTACGACCTGGAGACCACGCCTCGCTCCGTCCGTCGGCCCTGACGATCTTGGTGAATCCCGGTGTCTGGTATAAAGCAGACAACATCACCCCCTGTCTACTAAGGGTAATATTGGCTCGAAAACACTAGTGATTCCAGAAGGTCCAGAAGGTCTCTGAACCACATTACCCCGAACCTGCCCGGCGCCGTCCAAATAAAACTATTGTTCCGAGCCCATAATCGACCAAAATGGCCGCTGCAACCGTCGCCGTCCCGGCTCCACTGCCACTCGGCAAGGTGTTTTCCACGACGCCCGCCGCCCAGCCACCACCTGGCCAGCCAGATATTGCATACCACCCGGACTGGGACAAGTACCAGGCCCGTGCAGCCCGCCGCACCCAAACTGAAGATCTCCCCAAGATTCTACCTGAGGGTTTCCCCAAGGAGCTCAAGGGTGATCTGGTCTGGGAGGGGGAGACTATCGCCCAAAAATACGACTGGACGTACGTGCTCTCGGCTGATCAGCTAGCGGAGATCGATAGTGCTCTCGCACACTTCAAGTGTGAGTCTTCTTCAAGCGTGACTTATATCGATGATAGCGCAGTAACAGGCTGACAATAAATCAGCTCTCAATCTCGCCAAGGGCTACATCACGCAGGAGACATTTCCCCTGCCCAACTTGCATGCAGAGCTCCGCCGTCTGTCCCATGAACTGCATTTTGGTCACGGCTTCTTCGTCATCCGCGGCCTTGACGTTGATAAGTACACACGCGAGGAGAACATCATCATCTATGCTGGTGTCTCCTCACACATCGGCTCCGTCCGCGGCAGACAGGACGCATATTTCGAGGGTAAGCGCGCCGACGTCGTCGTTGGGCACGTCAAGGATGTCAGATCCGGACTTGGTGAGAACCGGGATAAGGAAAAGGTGAAAATCGGCACTCCGGCATACACGGCCGACAAGCAGGTCTTCCACACCGACTCAGGCGACATTGTCTCGCTTTTCGCGCTCTCAACGGCCGCCGAGGGAGGCGCCAGCCGTCTGGCTAGCACGTGGCGTGTATACAACCATCTGGCCGCAACGAGGCCCGACCTCATCCACACCTTGAGTGGGACGTGGGAAGCGGAACTGTGAGTTTCTCCCGTTACGTCGAAGAGAATGCGGCAAAATAGAAACGAAAAGCCTGGAGATAGCTAACAGAAGGTTTCCCTCTTAGCTTCACCAAGACCGTTGACGACAAAGACAAGTTCATGAGCCGGCCACTGTTGTACCATCAACCCGCCAGCGCCGACGGTAAGACCCCCGACAGGGTGCTCCTCCAATATGGCAGGCGATACTATGTCGGGTTCGGGGAGCTGCCGCGCAGCAGCCATCTGCCGCCTATCACCGAGGCACAGGCCGAAGCTCTCGACGCTCTGCACTTCCTGGGTGAGAGATTTAGCGTATCAACCAACTTCGAAAAGGGTGATATGCAGTACGTCAACAACGTGGCCATCTTCCACGCCCGCGATGGCTTTACCGACACACCGGACAAGCAGTGAGTTCCCCTTGATGCCGAGAAGCGTACAAGGCCATATTACTGACCAGGCTGCGGCCCTGCAGGAGACATCTGCTGCGCCAGTGGCTACGCGACCCTGAGAACGCGTGGGAGACCCCCGAGCCGCTCGCCTCGAGATGGGACCGTGTGTACGGCGGCGTGACTCCCGAGTTGCAAACCTTCCCGCTCGAGCCTCACACCCGTAGCGAGAGTACGCCTGGTGGTAAGAAGTGAGAAGAGGGATGTAGCAGGACTAAGAGATAATACCAAAAAAGTATCACGCCAGTAGTGCAGCTCATGTGGGTTGAAAGTACCGCAACAACTAGTTCGCGTAAACACTCCATGTTGTTCGCTGAGCCGGCGACTTGTTCTTGTCGCGCTTTAAGATAAGTCCTTGATGTAGCCCTGATGTAGCGATCCTTGGGGACGTCTAAATAATGGATGCCTATTTATTAGCGTGGAGATATTTCGTGCCCGCGTGAATGCCAGGGGGGGCGCAGGTTACGACTAGGAACAGGATGAAAAGATATGAAAAACACGAAAATCGCAGATGGGTTGGAATGATGATCTAGCAAGCCTTTGCTGGCAGTTCTTTGCAAAGACGGTGTTAGCTACCCATGGAGACACGGCGCACCCAATGATTCTGACTCTTTCCGTACCTACATACCTACCTAAGGTAGGGACATTGCTGCGCCAAATTCCTTTTGTGCCCTGGAGTATTTCACCATGTGGTTCTCCTTCTTGTCGGCATCGCATTCTCCTTCAGGGAATTGTATACTGCACTATCCGCAGTACGTATTTCCTCAATAATTGAAATAAATACGTCCTTGTAGGTAAAACACAGTCTTTGTCCTTTTTCGATTTGTTCGGGTGTCGTAGCCATGTCGCCGATCCTGATGCCGCTGGATTGGAACCAGCGACGCACGGTTTCCAGAGGCTCTGTGCTGCTCAATGGCCGAGTTTATCAAGGGACATTCGTCCGTTTCTGAAGTAACCACTCGTCGCATCTTTGTTGTCGCCCGTCAAGTTAATGATAGGCGCTGATGAGTTTAACTCATCAGACTACTTCCTCTCTTTTTGCTCCGGAGTTCGCGTTCGTTTTCCGGTCCGTCGGGGGCCTTTGTTGCGGCTTTGAGTTGATGGTTCTCTTTCTGCAGGCGTTCGTTGGCCTCGTGCAGTCGCCTGTTTTCGTCGTTCAGACGATCGACTTCGGCCGAGAGTTTGGCAACAATTGTTTAGGAACGTGTCAGCGAGAATAAAGGCGCCCGTCAATCTGCCGACTAACAGCATAGTTAGGTTTTGGAAATTATAAATGAGACTGTCATTTGCTTAATAGAATCACAAATAAAACAAAATTGTCATTCAGTTGCGGGAACAACGGGACCAGACTATCGTTGACTTGGAGGAATCGAACACAGAACGAGACTTTTATTGGGCAACTGTCTAAAGTCCCATGTTCCTGTTGTATCGTTGCGGGTGATCATCTTCATCTTGGCTGCCCAGTGTCTGTTGACTGTGGCGACCTTAGTTCGCAGTCTGTTCATATCGGAAAGTATGGATCCTTCTGGTTCAGCCATTGTGTGACCATGTTATACGGTAATACCAATGGTTGAAGAAAGACCGTGTAGGTAGGATGGATTGGCTGTATAGGGAGGAACGTGAATCAACGTTTCCCAGTACTACTTATTCCTGGTTATCCTCTTCTTCGCTATCCTCTTCAACAGCAGTAGATGAAATAGCAGCCTGTCGTTTCTGCAGTGTTCTGCTTTCGTCACGCTCGAATTCCTTCCATATGATAGTATTTGCCTCCAACAGCTGGCTGGCTTTCGTGTCGGGGTCTGCGGCGCCTGAAAACAGGCGTCAGCTTTTGGATCTCCCACTGGTTGAGCCTGGAAAAGCCGCCGGCAGTCTCCGATGCGCGGAGGCGACCTCGCAGAATCGGATAAGCTGGCGGCACTCTTGGAGCATGTTGGGAGCTCTTCGGGAGAACGTGGAGGGTCGGAATCCAGGTCATCCACCACCCCAGCAGCCCCAGATATCGCCACCATGTTTAGGGCAAACCATTGACATTGAATCATGAGCCTTGTCTTATCCAAGTGCTCCTCGGCGACCCTGATTGGGACGATGTGTCCAGATACTAATGGGCTGAAGTCATCATCCCGGGCTAGAGTCACACCATGCGAGCTGATCTTGCTTGTGTTGGTGAGGTGTTCAAGTTTTATCCAGGGTTCCAAGTTCCTCGCTGGTTGGAATAAGTAGGTTATGAAATTATTTCCAATCAGCGTAGGTACCATTAGACAATAACATGGCTCAAAACATCGCGTGTATTTGATAGTCTGGATCTGTTGTGAAGTGAGAATGGCATGATATGGCATGCTTCAATATCAGGGCAGTCTATCGCAATGCAACGTTGGTCGCGTTGTCGTGCCCGATTTATCATGCCCTATATCATTATCGGGATCTGGCGCGTGAGGGTATGGTAAGGTGATGGAGCAGTGCCTCTCCCTGGTGCAGCCGACATGCACCGAGTTGTGAACTTTGTTCCCATCCTTATCCATTCCGGTGCAGACGAAGTAGACAAACGGCGTGACGATGCTCTTGTCTCCTTCTTTAGCGATCCTGAAAGTGTATGGACACCATGCTGGAGATCTCATTTATGGCAGAACGCAACTTATTGCTGCCATTTGCAGCTTGTAGGCGTTTTCGAAACTCGGTGGTATTTAGTTGACACCACAGCCTGCATTCGCGGACTGAGATGTTTGCAACAAGTGGAGCGGACTGTAATTGTGACAGCTCTGAGATAAATTGAGGGCTCGTAGCCGTCAAAACAATCACCGAGGTCCTCGTTTGGGATTTCCGCCCACAGAGCAGGCATTCTTCAGCTTTGCCAGAGCTCACCCTAGTCGCCCAGTTGGCGCGTGATTGGCTGGAGGAGGGCTGGTGGGAGCAGAATGTTTGTTCTCGGTGCTTGGCTGGACCCTCAAAAAATCACACTTTCATTTTGTTGTAGTCTTATCGATAAGACATTCTTCAATTGATCAACCAAACCAGCAGCTGTGAAACAGGCTTGCCATGCGCATCGATGTCTAAAGACTCTGCACTCAATCGTGTCTCTCTATGAAGACTTTGATCTAATCAAGGGAGGGCAAAGGGGCGTTGATCAAGTTATCCATAGCACAATGTCGTCCAGCAAACGACGAAAGCTGGATGAGCCAGAGACTGGTTCACAACGTGAGCCTACACCTTCACCATACGACACATTATGTTCTGCAACTAACATATTCGGTAGCTTCTCCGAGTGGCGTCAGCGCCGTGAGTGCTCTGGCGGCTCGGCGGCGACTGGCTGCGGCGGCGTCTCTCGAAGGGAACCAGCCAACCAGTCCAACCAAAGGGGAGACTTCTGTCAATAGCAGGATTTCCAGTAACGCAAATGCATTCAGTGTTTTGCAAAATCTCAGTCGCCAAGGGAATTCAGAGAGCCAGTCTACTATTCAGGCAAGCACGCCACAAGACCTCAAAAAGTCTGGGCGTTCAACTCCCTTGAAAAGAAGCGAGGCAGCCAGAGGGTGAGACCACTTTCTCAAGATTGTCTCTTGGAGCTGTCCATCTAACATATTGGCATTTCTTAGTTCCGAGATTGCTGTAGCTTCTCCTTCTCGAAGTATCCAATATTCCTCTTTTAGAGAGACAGCTCAGAACCACCGGACCACCTCGAAGGGCGTCGTCCAGCTCCGTCTGAAGGAGAGCGAGGTAATTTACCTGACTTCTCCCCATTTAAACCTGCTTACTGACCACACAGCAGCGTTTTATGGTTCTTGGGAGTTTTGGCATAGTTCTTATCGAGGGTGAGCTTACCATTGCGGGAGCAACGTTGCGGCCATCTCCAGATCTACAATGGATCCATGCTCCTCACTGCCATGCGATCCCGGTGTTGAGAACCACAAAACCTACGAGGCTGGAATTACATGCCGACCCCGCTGCAAAATCCTTGCGGCAACTCGCTCGGCTGTCTCCTTTATTTCGAAGAATCTGGAACGACCCTGTTGAGGCTCCAGGAACCCAACGCCCAGCGTCCACATTCCGCATTGTACGTCTTGGCCCCAATGACCCCCTTACATTCTCCGGTATTAACGCATGATCCTAGCTATACTCGTCTGACGATGCTCCTAAGAAGAGTATTATTCAAGATCTTGTATCCCCTCCCGCATGGAACAAAAAACTAGCAGCCTCACTTGCTTCCCACGCCGACCAGACGTCGTATACAACTCTCGTCTGCGGACCCAAGTCGACAGGCAAATCTACCTTTTCAAGACTTCTTACCAACCGACTTCTCACGAGATCCTCCCACTCCACGCCAGGAGGTGTTGCAATCTTGGACTTGGATCCGGGCCAGCCAGAATATGCGGTTCCCGGCACCCTGTCTCTCGTCCACGTCACTAAACCGAACCTAAGCGCGCCATTCTCCCACTCCTGTTTCGAGAACGAGGGGGCAAAGGTGATCCGCTGCCACGCTCTAGCAGCCGTCTCCCCGGCCTCAGACCCAGATCTCTACCGTGAATGTGCATTCAACCTCCATGACGAGTACCTCTCCAAGCTCCAAGACCTCCCTCTAATTATAAACACCCCCGGCTGGGTTCTCGGCACAGGCCTCCAACTCCTCGAGGACATCATAAAACGAACCTCGCCCTCGGAAGTCATATACATGTCCGAAGACGGACCCACAGAAGCCGTAGACGCCCTCGAAGCCGTCGCGTCGGATTCGTTCCGCACCTTGCCCTCGCAGCCATCCGAGTTTGCGACCCGAACCGCCGCCCACCTCCGAGCGATGCAGACCATGACCTATTTCCATCTCAAGAGCCACACGGCCTCGTTATCAGGAGGCAGACTGCAGTGGAACCCGTCACCCCACTCGGCGATCCCTCCATGGCAGGTCGCCTACGCCGGCCCCGGGAGCGGGATCATGGCCGTCATGTCCTACGATTACCAGTCGCCCGCCGACCTCCTGGCCGAGACCATCAACGGAACGGTCCTCGCAGCGGTGGAGATCGAAGACGTCAAGGCATTCAGGGACCTGAACGAAGAAGACTCCAACATGCCTAGGATATCCAGAACGCCAGAGGGACTACCCTTCATCGCGAACCCGAACGACGTTGCGCTCGACCCCCGCCACTCCCACACCATCGGGCTCGTCCTCATCCGGGGCATCGACACCGCCACCCGCTCCATCCAGATCCTCACTCCCATTCCACCCCAGACAATCGAACAGGTGAAGGCGAGAGGCAACCAGATCGTCTTCGTCCACGGGAAGTTCGACGCCCCCGGCTGGGCGTACACGGAAGACCTCTATCTCCGCTCGGGGGATGATGACACCGCTTTGGACCAGACGATGAAGGTGGAGGATCAGGACACCAGCGAGGATGACTCCGATGCCGAGGGCCTGGATTCTGTGAGCACCCGCGACGTGACGAACTCACCCTGGGTCGAGATTCTGAGAGGCAACGAGAAACGTCCTGTGGGATCCAAGGTTTGGAGGGTGAGGCGGGATCTTGGACGTAACGCCGGAGATGGCTGAATCGTACCCACCTCAGGATCATGATGCGATCTAACGGAACAGAGGCAGAGTGAAGAGATGTCCAATCATATTAGTTATCTAACCTATTAATACAAATATCCCTAGTAAGAGTCCGCACGGTGGTTTCCTCTTCCCATCCCGAACTAACGAAATGAGTCCTCATGCAATGTAGGCCTGTGGCTATTTCATCCAAGTATCAATCAGAGAAGTTTCCAGCCTAATTCTACCCAAACATCCTATGCTAACACCTCCCGACCTGACAAACCACATCTCACTCCGTTCCTTCAGTTGGAGGACCCGAGGGTGCCGGACCAGGCTGCGCCGGGGTCTGCTCAATGAATCCAAGATCAAGATCCTGCCACCTCCACAGGTTGGCAAGCTCTCCCAGCTCCTCCGTCGTTATCGTGGAGAAGCCCATGTCGGGTCCCATCGACGGGTCCGCTGACGGATGCAAAGACAATGCGTCCAGGGTCGGCTGCCCGTCAGGCAGGAACGGGCCCTGCATAGCAAGAGGGTCGAAGTACATGCCCGTCTCGGGGGGCCAGTTATTGTCCGAGAAGAGAGGCATGTCGAATGGCCCGCTGGCAGGGTAGGCAGTCGGCTCAGGTATGACCATTTCCGGCCCGGCTGGCATCGGGGGTCCGGCCACCTGGCAGCTGCCCGACTCCACGGTGGTCGCGGAGTCACGGTGGGAGTCAAAGTGAGACTGAGACTTCGAGCTCGTGCTCGGCCCGCTGGTGCTGGCCGGTGCAGCTTCGCTCGAATAGGTCGTAGTGGTTCCAGGAGCCGGCCCAGGCAGGGACGATAGCGAGGACTGCTCCAGCCTCTGCTTCTTGTTCCCGATCCTGTTGAAGATGCCCAGTTTCTTCAGGACCTTCCTCTGCATCTTCTTCAGGACGGAGAGGTATGTTTTGGCCGGCAGGATCTTCTCCTTCAGCCGATCTATCATGTCGATCGCCCTTTCGATGGCGACCAGGATCTCGTCCCGCCTCTCAACCGTCTTGTCCTCGTCGTGTAAGATGACACTGCCGTGAACGGTTGCTGTATCGAAGATGCAGAACAACACGAAATGGAACTTGGCATCGCGGGGCCACACGTGATCAAAGAACCCGTACAAGGCTTCCATCAACCTCAACGCATAGCGCACACCATCGCGACGAATTTGCAAAGACTTCTCCGAGGTGTTCTTGTTCACCACCTTTGCCAGGTAGGCTCGGATCGGGTCCAGAAGCATGGAGTGCGCCATGGTATGGAGGTAGTGTCGGTGAAGTACAATCCAGGGGTGTATTTGGTCCTGGCTCTTGTCCGGTCGATTAACATCATACGCTGGCGGGAACGTGCTAATCCACTGCTCTAGTATGGTCTGGTATTCGCGAACTTCGTCTTCGGATTGGACGTTCTTCGGAAGCCCAAACCTGGCGGCCAGCTGTTTTATCAACTGGGATTGCATGGTCATATGCAGGGAAGGGGACGGCGAGTAGGCTTCCAGGTTCAGACTTGGGAACTCGACGTTGCAGTCGGCGCGGTCGATGATGATGGGTCTCGCCAAAAGGGCAGATATTTGCCTAGAGCATGTCAGTTGCGGCATAGGCGAAGGCTGAATCTAGAGCAGGCGTTGCTCAGTCTCACTCACCAGTCCCAGGTATCAAGGACGCACCATACGCGTCTACGCATTTCCTTCTCTAGCATGCTAAGCCCGTCATTTTCGGTTTCTTGGTGCATTCCTACGCGAAAACGAATTAGTTTTCAGAGGAAATACAAGAGGTCAGGTTGGGCAAGATATGGAAAGCCACCTACCCAAGTCTTGAGCGGCCCGGACGGCAGAATTGAGGATGTGCCAGGATTCAGGAAACTGTGCCTCAGACTTGAACCAATAGCACGAATGCAGGAGCTGCTGTACAGAGTAGAAGTGGCTGTGGCCAACGGGGATGGCACTGTACAGCTGACGGCCGGCGCCGTGATACTTCTCGCCGAGCGTCTGACAACTCTGGAGAAAGTCTCTCTGGAGCCTGCCCTCGAGCTCGACAGAGCAGTACTGTGCGGAGCAGGCACACACCATGAGCAAGAGACAAGTCCATTGGAGCCCGAGGGGTTGGGATTCGGCTCTGGCAGTCCACCAGTCCCGATACTCGTCGCGGAAGGAGGGGGGATAGATGATGAAGTAATGGAAGTTGACGTGCGACAGAAAGTTGTCAACAAGTTGATCTATGAGCAATGTCAACATAAGCAAGGGTTTATGCCAATATAGGGTCATTCTGCGTTGCCTACCCAGATATGGCCGAGGAGGGAGTGCATCCAAGGCGTGCTGCAACTGTGGGCAGGCGCTGGGAAGTGCGAAATCCTGCTTCTCCGGGGGTCTCATCTTGGGCTTGATAATTGTAAATGGGATGTTAGCGATACAACGAAGGGGCAGTTTTTGAATAGATGTTCAAGAGGGAAGATGGAGCATACCCCAGCGGCGTTTCTCATGTCAGTGAAGATGTTGCTGGATGAATAACCCAGAGCCTCGAGGCCCAAATCGTCGTTGTCATCATCGTCCTCGTTCAGAACGTCATCCAGCTCGTCGGCATGGCTGGAATCAGGCTCTCGCCCCCGTTTCTTGGAAGACTCGCCCGCCGACTTATCGACGGCGTTGGGGTTGAGCTCCTTGAAGTGGCATTTGTCGGCCACCTTTCGCTTCTGGCAATGATTACAAGGCCATTCACGATTGCACTGTGATGGCGAAGATGCAGAATTAGGATCAGGGTTCCTGTCTATAGGTAAAGCCCGCCGCACCAGCTATGCGAGATGGGGAATGGAGGAGAGGGGAGGTATAAGCACACATACTTTCTGCTTGCGGCGCTGACACTCAGAGCACGCAGTGCGGCCATGGCCATCTTTGGCGTCCTTGGTGTCCGTCATGATGCGAACAGTGGCATTGACCAGACCAAGCCAGATGGTGGTGGTGAAGAAGGCACAGGGAGAAGCGACGACAGAGGCCACCTGCCTGTAGGAGGTAGTTATCTGTGGGATCAAGAAATAGGGCCGGAAGAGGGCGGATCCGGAGGGGAGCAAGGCCGCTGTTTAGCTCAGGCCTCACAGCATCTCAATCCAGGTCCTGAACCTTGCGTGAGGGACAGGAGGTGGTTATTGGAGAAAATGGTTCGGCTATAAACCTTGTGCTTATTCACCAGCGACAAGCAATGGCAGTAGCTCCCACAACATGCAACTCCCAGCTGAAAGCTCTACAGGACCCTGCGATGGATGTTCTGAGCGGCCTGCAGACTCGGTGACGTGCGGCCCACCGCCACCACGGGTCAATCTCAATCCCAACAGCCGGACAGGGATCCATCTCCTCAGATCCAAGCGACATCTCTGGCCTCGGTCTGTCTTGCCTGTGCTGGCTGTTGAGAGATGTGCTTGTGTGTGTGTGTGGGTACACTGCACCAGAGAAACGGCACCTACCGCTGGGCCGTTGGCTGGCCTCGAGTCATGGGATGGCATTCTGGGCAAATTGCGCTCAGCCAGACTGGCAATTTGCTTCTTTCTGCCTCTCGCCCCTTCAGCCGGGGATCTGCTCTGGGTGGCGCCAAGGCTGAGCCAAAAGAAAGAAGACCTGCTTTAGCTCGCCCGCACCAACAAGTGCAGATTGTCAGCTCCTGCGAATTACTGCACGTCTTACAGCCCTGAGCCTGAGTATCTCTGGCTCAGCTCTTTCTGCTATGCGACCAACTGGCCCTCATTGCATCGCTTTTAATACAGGCAAATACCGGTGATTAAACCCTCGTCCCGCATCACCTGCATGCACGCTACCAACGGGGATGCATGCTGCAGTAGGAAAGGAGGGCACCCATCCTGCCTATCAATGCCAGAGCGGTCGCCTAAATCCCCGAATGAACCCTGAGAAAAAAAGGAGGGGGCAAGAAAAGAAAAAGAAACTATCCGTCGGATCCGCCGTCCTCCTCCACCTCCTCTGATTCGCTCTCCAGACACTGTCGATCTCTCTATTTCAGCTTCACCTCCTCGGCTGCCTGCAAATTACCAACACCGCCACCCACCTTCACCATATGTGAGCGGCTTCAGCAGGTCGTACCCTCACCCTGCAGGCTCAGCTCATCTAGCATCGCTGACGATGAAGAGCAACCTCGTAGCTACTACATACATCCAAGAATTTTTATAGTCTAGGAACCTTGACCATCAGCCAGCAACACCCCTCCTCCCACCGTTATTTGTCCGCCACCGCCCTCTCACCCATGGCAAACCAGCAAATCTGCACAATGCCGGATTGAGCTGAGACAACAGCCAGGACTGAGACAAATAATCCGGCTGTCCCCCCTCTATTGTCCGCCAGCTGAGCGCCATTGTCACACCTCATTGTGCAAAGCGATGAAACCGGCATCGGGCTACACTGGATGGACGCACCCTAGGACCAACAACATTCGCCCGTCTATCCTACACACCCTCCTTGGCCCTCCGTAGTCGGTGGTGAGCAAAACAAGCGGTATACGAAGGCCAAGTTCAATAGCGCACCCATGTTTTCTTCTTCCTATCCCTCGCTACCTCCGCTCTCTTTGGGCGGGGGAGAGAGCATATTGGTCCCAAGTCTAGAACAGTGGCTGCTCGACCAAGGCATCATACAGTCTCGAACTTGTTACATTCGGGGTGTGGCATGCCACGTAATAAATGAGCAGAAACGCCCACCGTGTACAGCAGTAGGTTATCGGGGCGTACGTGTGACCATGTTCGGTCTCCACGTACTTACCACGGTCATGGCCACCCAAGGAGTGAATACGGCACAAGAGATGTAACATTTTCAAGCAAAGGCCATGTATTCAGCCGGTTTCTTCTTTCGTAAGCTTGTGATATGATTGATCCATGCATGTGTACCCTATCCCAGCCGTAGCCTCTCCACCGTTTTCAATAAACCAAGCATCAAGCTCAAAAGAACTTGCTCTTCAAGCTTCCAAGCACAAGATTCCTCTTCTGTTTGTTCATATACTTACTCACGTCATCTGCCCACCCTTGACTTTGGTTCTGCAGGCT